AATAGTGAAGCAATTGATTGATTAACATAGGACGATTGATTTAAAATTCTGAACATAACTTTGACAGGCACAATAAACAACACTAACTAGAGTATATTATACATTATATATATTATATATTATAAGTAGTATTATATTATGTTGATTAAAAACAGCCTTGGTTACGTTGAGCCTCATAGACTTTTTACATTGCTAAAATACTATTCAATTAGTTTCGACAAATAAGGAGTACGAGAGTGCATACCTGTTTTCCCTCGAATACGATAAACTCAACCACTATAATAGATCACAAATAAAAAGTCCAGTATTCAGACACCCAAACTGGCCATAATGCTTGCCTACGAATGAATGAAAACGTCCGCGTTCTGAGTATATTCATGGATAAGGAAGAAGGATTGTCGAAGAATGGAGCAATTTTTTCTATAGTCCTGAGCATTCGAAATCATACAAGACTTCATGTGCAGATCAAAATAGAGAGGACTGCAGTTTCGTACCACCGACGACCCCTGACACTTGATTGGCGAACACCCACTAAAATTACCCCCCTTTTGATGCTGTTGCCCATCTATGAAGATAGACTGCCTTAAGAGTTCGAAATCTCAGGACATTAAACAAGTTACTCCGGTGCTCGACAATCCTGTTTCCTTATCCATAGTAATTGCTTGTTTGACTGCAGTAACCCTATCGCACAGATAATTTCGCTGGAAGTGATGCTTGGAATTGAATAGTGGGTGCCGTTGAAATTATTAATGGAATGCTTGGCAGTGTTCATAACTCGACCAGTTCCCCACTCCTACAGCTGACATTTACAGCCGATTCATATGTGTAAATTCTGGCCGCGTAACACCGTTTATATAAGAAATTTCGATTTAAGGATAGGATATGTAAGCCCCTGGATTTAGAATACATAAGTCGGCCTAGTTAAGTTTTCTATTTAATGGCTATGGACTACTACCCTCTACGGCTTTACTAGAACATTGATATAATGACATGCACAAAACTGTTTTATTGTCGTTTTATTAGCATTCGTCATATTTAGTAGTATTTGCTTTTGGTTATTGTTTTTTAAGGTCACTGACAATTCGTTGCTTTATTTAAGCCTAGAAGAATACGATAAGCGGAAACTTACCAACTGGTATGTTTATTGCACATATTTTGCTGCTTGTCCGTCGAGAGGCCCAATCTTAAAACTGCCACTACCACCCTTTCCGCTTAAAATTCTTCTGAGTTTAGTGGGGTTAAGGGGGCTCACATGGTTTATCAGTGACAGACTTTGCATCACCCCAAGCTATCTTTTGCTTTTTTCAAATATAGGACAGCGGTTAATATACTGCCAGTTTTTCCTTCAGGGTTGTAATAAGGTAAATGTTGAATTTATTTGCAACGCATACAGTAAGTCCAAAAATGTTATCAACCTGAATTTAAAAGCAGGAGAGTTAGATCTATCTGTTTTACGTTAACTGATTTTCTTGGAATTTGTGCAGAGCTACGGTCGCACGCAGATATTCACGTGAACACTGCGCAGGCAACGTGAATGAACGTGAACATAAAATTCGATTGTGCCGGTTGAAACACGATGGGCTAAGTCCTTCTAGAACGGACCCATATCTGTACTTTCACCAGTAGGCTTACGTCATCCTCCCTTTGAATACGTCATAGGGACAGGAATTACAAGTCTTAAGAAATCCGAAGCTAGAATAATCCCAAACTGTTGCCTTTGTGACGCTTACTTCTTTCCGCGCTCAATATTAATTCAACTATGGACACGATCGAGGTATAGAATATGGTCATCTCATTGTATCTGGAGATTCAATATAGAGCTCCAAATAATGGTCGCATGGTGACCAATAATATATACAGAAGAAGACTACCGATAGGGAAAGTAGGGACTGGAATGGCCAGTTCTGGCTTAGTAGAAGTCCTCAATCATCCTTACCTTAACCTAGTTGTACCGGACCTGAGATTCGAGCGCGCGTTATGTTGGTCGTCCAACGTTATCACGACCAAGACCTTAGCGTGGATCCATAGACCCATTTTCCTATCGGTTGTCAGCAGTAATAATTCCTATAGTTGGAAGGTAAGTTCATTCATTTGCTATTCCGAGCCATCTGACTACCTGGGAGGGCTGTAGACTGAGCTCCAAGAGGATCCGTCCCTTAACCGGATCAGCGAACATCCAGCAACTGTTGGTAAGGTTTCTGGTTCCAACTTGTTACGGAAACGGAAACCGCAATGCACTCACAACCTAAGGCAAAAGGATCACTTGATAAGAAGCGTCGCAACAGGCCAAACAATTTGAATACTAGGCGTGGGAGCCGAGACAATCAGACAGCGTGGTGCCTTTAGCTCGGTCGTCTGCAACCAACCAGTGAACTGATGAAGTTTGATTGCCTACGTTTCGCAAGACAAGTGTTTTGCATGACGCTCTCCGTGTCGGAATGGATTAAGTGCGTTAAACGAGGTTCCATTGTATTAATGAGCGTACTTCAAAATTGTCCATTTCACAACTCCTACAGAAACTTTCATAGAAGGTAAATTACCTCAACCAATACAGATCTAGAAACAGTTTAAAGTCTGAAAAACAAACACACCAAAGTCTTTGAGTCACTAATGTCATGCAAGTAAAGTATAGCCAAAAGATGTCTGCAATCAAGTGAGTCTTTACAGTTTTTGAATAAGACTGGTAATTCACAGTCTTCGGTACATTCGTAGAGTCTGACGTTCACTACAAGTTTTCGGCCTGGGAAAAGTGGCTCTAGAACAATTTAAATTTAGTTGCGAGGTCGATCTGCCAAATATGCCAGTGGTCAGGAAAAATTACCCTATCCGACCGGGCAAAATAATTGAAAGTGTGTTCGCACGAGTTATCGACAACTGTTTATAGACTCACTACAAATCCTCCGCATTATGCCTTGATTTAACTTAACTCTCAGTGGGACAATTGTTTCAACCTCTATTGAAATTACACTATGGTGAGTGCTGCAAGAAACATTCTGCAATTTGAAAAAGACCGGTAAATACTCGCAAAACAACATTCAGTAGGGATGTAATACTGTTAATCATGCAGTCCAATTTCAATTATTTTAAGTCACGCTAGGATTCCGACTCTATGATGAGCTTCTTTTTGACCACTGCGAAACCGTTGATTCTGTAAAGAATGGCCACTTAAGTAGTATGTATTTTTCATATGCAAAAAAAATCGAGGTCCAGATAAAATATTCCTTTCATCATCCCAGGAAGAGGAAGAAGAAGAGACGATTTTTGGGACCGATGCGTATTTAGGCTGACGTTTCAAAAGCGTGCTCGCTTCCATCGTCAGAGCGCGTTGTCTGTACTCCTGTTCACGTCAAGTGAATGTGTCCGACCAGTAGCTTTGCCTAATGTCCATGTGTCAATCGATTGACCGATCGATTTTCGTGGCTCTTTGAATTGCTCGCGCCCTCACAGGCGTCTTCATGAGCTGTGTCAAGTCGTTTTTGTGCCTCATGAGCGTTTCCTCTCTCTTTGCGGCGGCTGCCGGCTGTCGGCCCTGTTTATCTCTCTTCGCCCGACCTATTACTCCGTTCTGAGCCGATGTTAGCCTTTTGCGAAGTGCTTGGTAGGCGGTATGAGGGTCCATGACTC